TTAATGGCGGAGGAGAGAATCTTTTCCTTGGGTAGGGGAGAACAATTACTGACCGTGATTCATTCTTACTGAGAATTTCTAGGGACAGATAAAGAGGATAATGACAAAAATAGCTGTTGTTTTACAATTCTTACATTGTGTAGTTACTATAACAGGGATGTTATATATAGCATCTCATTTAAATCCTACTGCAACTTGCATGGATAATTTAATGAATACATTTTCTTGATGAAGAAATAAAGCCCCAGAAACATTATGTAACTTACACTAGGTAATACAACTAGAAAATGATAACAGTGTTCAAGCTTATGTCAGTGTAACTCAGAAGTTTCTTTTAGTGCAGTGTACCATACTGGTTTGGAAAATGCAAAGAATTGTCTCTCTCCCTTTTCTGGGATTAGATAAACATCTCCCTTGAACCCTACCCTGAGAAACAGTTGCATGGGGCTCTGAATTTGGGCTAAGATTGGTCCTGTCAGTATAGTTGGGATGATCTACCTGGCAGAAAATGACCTTGCATAAGTTACCTCCTCCTTCCCCTCACTCAGCGTGCTATTCTACCTCTTAAATCATGCATCCTCTTCTCAATCCAGCATTGTACTGAATATTTTGGTTCCTATTTATGTGAATGATTACATTCATTCTCTCCTTCATTTTAAATTATTTATTTTTTTAATCAACTCTCCTATTTATCTCCTGTCTCGTGCCAGTCCTTATTGGAGAGGCTGAATTAATGAGGAACGTTTGCACACCAAAGGGCAGCTCTTGACCCCCTTATTACACACAACTTCTTCCTGAAAGCAGACCAACTAATGATAGATTGCTATGCAATAATAGCATCTTTAAAAAGTTAATTCTGTGACATTTCTAGTTTGACGTCGTAACTGAAAACAATATTCTGAGAGAAATAGTACCATCAATTGTTAATTTTGTTCAGTAGACAATCTGTTCTACGTCAAAGAAGATCTAGAAAATGGTTAGTCCACTAGGGAGTGTTTTTAAAATCTATCAGCAAATATTTGGATGTCCAATACAAGACTTTGCTAGAAGACTTTGAATTTTTGAGTCTTTTCTCTTCTCCCAATACACTGTTCTCATCAATAACCTTCCCCCAGAGCATCTATTCAGATAACGCTCAAATCTGCCAGCTCTAAAACTTAAACCCCAGGACTGTATTTACATATTTACAAATGCTATCTGATAGCATAATAATGCTAAAAACTCAACATGTCAAGAAAACAATATTATTTCCCTATCATAGAGATATCATTTTATCATGTATGAGGATTTGGAGAGGAAAAAGCTGGAAGGATCAGGAAGAACATTTAAATTGTCTATTTAGTAATCCATCCTTTAAGGATACAATATTTGAGTTTCAGTAGTGAGCATGGAAAGTAAAGGACAATTCCAAGAAATTCTTCAAGTTAAACTATTGTCCAAGATTTGTGTTAAATAACATTGCATTAGCTTTGATTTGAATATCAGTCTAAGATTTAGAGTCTTAATAATATGGCGTTATTGTAAGTAATAAGATAAACTATTTGACACTTGAGAACATGGTCAATGAAATTCACTTAGTTCACAAAAACAAAATTTTTTTGGTAACAGCCAGGCAACATTTTTCACTTGTGAAGCTAGTACCCTTTATTCTATCTTCCCACAACACTAAAGGCAGAAACAGAAAAGATGGAAGTAATATTAATAGGACAGATGTTTGGCTCCAGTCTAATCATCAAAACTAGACTGCTTTGCCTGGTTTCCTCTATTTACAGATGGGGAAACTTAAGATCAGAAAATTAGGCAGACATTTTCACACAGTCAGATCACATGAAAGTTTCTGAATTCAGTCCTGTTTGATTGAAGTTGGTACTGAGCTGCACTTCCCTGCGCCTGTCCTCTTAGTTCCTGGTAGCTTACTGGAGTGTAACAGCAGAGCAGGGGGAGCAAATTCATGGACCCTCATTCCCTGCATCAAAACGACCAAACAGTCAATAAACTATACCAAGTCAGGACCACCTTCTGTGTTCATTAGCGGCAACATTGTTCTTCTTTACAATAGTCTTAAAACCTTGGAGCCATCTTTAACTTTTTCTTCCAGAGACTGCTCAGTTGCCAAGTCCTACTCATTCTTCCTTAATTCTATCTCTTGTTTCTGTCGTTTCCTTTCTCTTCCTACTGTTAACATTCTACCTCAATGCCTGTTTCTCAGGCCATTTTGATGATTTACTAAGGGTCCCCTTGGTACTAATCTCTCCTTTTACCAATCTTAGTTACCGCCCCTAATGAGACTCAGGAGACAGTGTGTTGTAGTGGTGGAGAATCTGAGATCTGTAGCTGAAGGCCTGAGTTCAAGTCTTCACATTTCCTACATATTATACAAATTTGGCTTTGTGCAAGTTACTTTGTATTTCTGTGCTTTGTTTTCATCATCTTTAGAATGAGAATAATGATAATAACTTTTCTAAGGATTGTTTTGAGAATCCTTCAGTTAATACATGTCTAATACATATATAGATGTCTGGCACAAACTATTCAACAAATGTTCATCACTTATTGTTACTATTATCATTAAAATCTAATTTGGTTATATTATTTCAGTTCGAGCTGGTATTTAACAACAACAACGATGATCATATCCATGCTTTCTGAGTTTGTAGGTGAAGGATTAAAATACAAAGCCCAGAAAGGATAAAACTACCAATGGTATTAGAAGTGAAGCAAGACTAAAAGCCTACATACAGGCTCAGTGCCTATGGCTCAAGTGACTAAGGCTCCAGCCACATACACCTAAGGTAGCGGGTTCAAATCCAGCCCGGTCTGCCAAACAACAATGACAACTGCAACCAAAAAA